GCAGATATCCCCAGCAAATGACCTTGGGAGGCTAGCATTGTCCCAGGCTTTGAACTGGCATTCTTGACATTCCTTTAACTCCCACCCCCCATAACCTTCTCACATCCCTACCACCATTGCTAGTTGTCTGACTGTAAGCAGGAGTTGCTGTGCAAGCCAATTTGCAACCATGACACATAGTTAGGATGGTATCACTGGTCTATGCAGATGAAGGTGAGAGATCAGTATTGGACTGCACCATGAGAAGGGAGAATGTTTATGTCCAGCAAAGATTTCTAACAGCACAATGAAGCAATGAGTCTGTCATCTGCACCTCCATAGCTGTCTGGTTTGGCTCTGCAAGCAAACAAGACAAACACAGACTTCAACTGATAATTGGAACTGCAGAAAAAACAATTGCTACCAACCTGCCTTACATTGAGTATCTGTATACTGCACGAGTCAAAAAGAGGGTTGTGAAAATATCTACAGACCCCTCACATCCTGGACATAAATTGTTTCAACTTCTACCCTCAAAACGACACTATAGGGCACTGCACACTAGAACAATTAGACACAAAGACAGTTTTTTCCCGAATGCCATCACTCTGCTTAACAACTAATTCCCACAAAACTTTCAAATAATTTACTAAGACTGTATTACTATTATTCTTCTCTTCCTTCCTAGTATCTATCTCTTCCCACTTATTACTATAACCTTGTATCTTTCAATTTATATTGTTTTTATTTGTTTCCTAGTACGATTTGATAGCTTATTAGTAACCTTGGCTAAGTGTTGTATCTTTTTATTCTTGATGAATGTATTTTATTCTCCTTATGTACACTGAGAGCATATACACCAAAGACAAATTCCTTGTGTGTCCAATCACACTTGGCCAATAAAGAATTCTATTCTATTCTATTCTATTCTATTCTATTCTATTCTATTCTATTCTATTCTATTCTATTCTATTCTACTCTACTCTACTCTACTCTACTCTACTCTACTCTACTCTACTCTATTCTATTCTATTCTATTAACAGATGCTACAGATTTTAATAGGACATCAGAATCACTTCAGGTTATTTCATGGATGGAATTATTCCACAACTTGGTAATGTCATATATTTAAATACTCAAATCAAATACTCCTCTTTCTGAGGATTGCTTTGCCGACTGTCACATGGGTCTCTGTTCTTTATTATCATACCCAATCATACTTGGTACTGGCCTAGTAGTATTAGTGGTGCAAGCCTGTGTATGTTTTCTCAGAAGCACTTCCTATTGAGTTTAGTAGGATGTAATCCCAACTAGCCATCTACAGTTTAAATATTGTATAGTTTCTCTTCTGAGAAAGGTTTACTATTTTGTAATTTTCTTTTACTTATACTTTAGGCACAAAATATATAAGCAAAATATCTTTCTTGAAACTAGTTGTATTTTTTCAAAGGGATTGTCTCTGTTCTCTTAGAGTTTCTTAAGGGTTCTTTGAGGATCCAAATACTATTGAGTAGGATTTCAGGGGAACAACTATCTAGCTCTCTTCTTGAAAACAGATTCTTAGCCCATACTGTTAACGGCTACAAATTCTATTTTTCTATTCCTTCCTGTCTCCTTAACAAAGTCACAACCAAACAAAAGATAATCTTAGGAATATACAAGCATAAAACTTTAATTCTATTATGTTATTATTGTAATTTTTTATGCACAAAATAAAAAAATATTTTTCAACAAATTTCCCCAAGTTTCCAATAATTAATATTAGGATTTATCTTCAAGTAAATGTATTATCCATGGTATTTCAAGTGTTCTTTCTGAAAACCATTGAACTCTGAAGAATTTATTTCATCATTTCATCCATTCGTTATCATTATTAAATATTTGGCTCACTGCTTAGCAATGAAACTACATAGTCAATATTTATAAAATAAGAATATATCATTTTGAATAATTTGGTTAGCTTGATTTAATTAATTTTAAATTTGCAGGTTTCATTATCTAACACATTCTTACACTTTGCCTTAGATCAGTTAAAATCAGAAAAATACTGACTTTGAAAGAACTGTAAGACATAGCATTTATTTACCTAAACAATTTATATAACCACCCATCTCACAGCAGTAAGTCAGTTCACAAATGATTAAACTAAATTTGGGCAGTGCACAAATGATTTAATTAAACCCAAGCCAGAATATACCAGATGGAACCTTAAAATAGTAATTATAATAATAATACTTAATCTGATTTTGATCTGTACAACCAAACACATCCTCCAATTGCACTACTGTAATCTTTGGACCAAGAATGATACTTGGTCCAAGTTTTTAGCACCTTGAAGAAGATCAACAAGGTTTGGACAATCTAGATCTCTGAGTACATTCTATTGCATCGGGCAGATGCTACCACAAAGAAAGCATGGTTGCTATTTCCCACAAAATAACATTTCCTAATGAAAAGGGCCTATAGTAAGTACATTTTTTTTTAAATGACACTCTTCTACCAGAAGGAACTTTGCATGGCAAACAAAATAAAACTCAATATTGTAGAACAATCATTTAAAACAATGAAAAACATTCAGGGCCTGAAAAAAAATTCCCACACATCCATCATCATCCATGCCATTTCTCTTAACATCCCGGCTCCAGTGTCTGTTACCCCAGACACTAGAGCCGGGATGTTAAGAGAAATGGCATGGATGATGAAGGCCAACAGAATCAGCTTTCCCTCTGAAGCATCTCTGAGGGAAGACTGTTCCATAAGACAGGTGAGGCCCCATCATGTGACATCATTGAAGGGATTCAGAGCCTGCCCATCCTGCCAAATGTAGTTGGGATGGGCAGAAACCATTGGGAATTGGTGGTCCTGCAAATAGCATGCCTGTATGCCACATATGCCTTTAAAGGTGATAACCAGCACCTTGAATTATACCTGGAAGCCTACTGAGAGCCGGTGCAGCAGTGTTACATGGGTTTACTGAGGTGTGCTGCTACTGCCAGTGCTGCCGCATTCTGGACCAGGTGCAGCTTCCAAATTCTCTTCAAATTAGTCCTATATGGAGTGCATTGCAATAATCTAATTGAGAGGTGACTAAGGTATATGTAACTGTGAATAGTGCAGATGTATTGAACAAAAGCCCTCCTAGCCATGATTACCACTGCCCTTCAAGCAGTACACAAAGTCCAGGAGAACCTCCAGATTAAACCCAAGCTCTGACTGAAGATCACCCCAACCTGAATTAAATATGGTAAATTACTAGATACAGGGGATTCTAAAACCCACAGACATTCGGTCTTGTCTGTGCTGATCTGAAGCCGATTCTTCCCCATCCAGGCCTGTAAGCCTTCAGGAAAGCACTTCAGGAAAGCGCTGAAACCTTGACAGCAATTTGAGACATATACTAACAATGTAATGCTGAGTTACACCTTAGTAATATAATTGTTATTTTCATTGTTAGTATATCTGATGCTGGCCTTTCAAACTGGAATATGGCAGACATATATTAATGCCTAATCTCAGTACACATTTCTCTCAACCATTACATTTCCATTTATCACTTTTGTAGATTTTGCCCAGGTTCTGTGCAATGGATACAAAGGACAAAAATAATATCTCAAAGAAAGAGGCTTGAAGTGAAAGCTAGAGGTGATACAAATGTCAAGTCTCCATGAATTGAGGTCACCTTGGCTGACACTGTGAAAATATCATCCTGAGTACAGTAATAATATCTCTACCATTTCATGAGCTAAGTGAACAGCAATGAACACACAGTGGTCAAAAGCAAAGGTTTCAATGTTCCCATAATAGTCAGGGTTTCTCTATCAACTCTCATTTTGAATGTAATCCTTTTTTTAAAAAAAAAAAAAACAGACTTTATTTTAAGAAAGATAAACACGTGTCTCTTAAAGACAATAAAGTAGTACAAACCAACTCCATCTCATTTCTTAAGATAGGTTAGGACAGGAAGTGCAGCATTTTTGCACATTTGTTCTCTTAGCATTATTCTTACTTCCTACCTTTGTCTGCATTAAGAATGCAGTGCACTTAAAGATAAAGTAATACTGTTTCCAGGAGTTTACTGAAACATTTAACAAATTCACACTTGCATTTGCGGTCATATGTCCCAGTGCACTCTCCCATAGTGACAAGCTGAAAAGAATACAGGGAAATATAGGATTGCAAATGTTTTAAAAATTAGTTTAATGAAAACTAGTGTTCATGTCTCACCTATTACCCGCCCTTGTTTATTTGATGAAATATACCAAGATTTCTTGAAAATGACTTGCTTAATCTTACTCACAGCACACCAGATGTTTTCTAGTAGAGATTACTAAATTACTAAACATAAATTCATTATGTACTAGGATAGCAAAGATATGTATTGTGACTTTTGTTCATCATTGTATTAACTCATGTCAGAAGATTCTAACATCTAAAAAACACAGTTCCTCCATCCCTAAAGGTTATAGAATTAATAAGTGATACCAAAATTTATTCAGATGACATTTAACTGAAATAAAGCCTGGAGTTATTATTTGATGGAATATTTCAGGTCACCTAAACCTATCTGGTGTAGGAAAGTAAGAAAGAACTGTCATTTGTAATTTCAACTTTGTGGAATAATGTTACAAAGTTATAATACATCTCAGTAAAACAAGAAATGAAAGAAGTCAAAAGCTGCAGCCCAATGTTAAGAAACTGATAACAAGAATGAAATGCCCATATCTAATATCTTTCATGTCAGGATGTTATTCAAATCCATATAATAGATGAAATTTCCAAAATCACAATACCAGAATCCCTGCATATCCATTTTCTGCTTTCTAAGGCTGTTCTGTATTTTGGTCAAACACTTCCTACAGTCATATCAGGAACACCTAGTATTTATTGCAGTTTGATAGATAAATTGGTTATAACTTATTAAATTGATGCGACCTTCTGGACATTCACTTCAAGACAACCTTTGGAGCCCTTAAAACGTTTTGGAGAAAGTGAAAAAGAGGGAAGTCACTCGTGTACTCACGGTCATTGCACAGTGTCCCACTGAAAGAAGTCATGCTACAGTCACAGCTAAACCCATCCCATTGCTGCAAGCAGACACCTTGGTTGGCACAAGAGTCTTCTTGGCATGTGGTGCTGGGACCTAACAAGAAAACACACCATAGAAAAGAACATGAAGGTCTGTCATTCAGAGTGACTATATGTGTCATTGGATCACACAGGGTAGTTGCCAACATCTCATGTTTATAGAGTAAATTATGGAAAAAAACTGATAAGGGGATTGGTGGTAACCCATATTATTAATAATATTCAAGTTATGTAGAGGCATATGTTTTTTGTTTGTAACATGAAGATATGAATTCATCTGTGATGATAATAACATAAGAGAAGCAAATAACTCAAGCAAAAGGAAGTGGTGATTCTCGCATATATTTCTAATTTTACTTTAACATCTATAAACTATCTTCTCCAAAACAATGAGTTCTACTAGGCATTGCGGGGGAAAAAATATAAAACTGTAAAAAAACAAAAAAACAAAAAAAAAACAAAAAACAAAATAGAAACAACCAAAAACAAAGCCATACATGTCATATTAAAAGCAAGCAAGGAGACGAAAAATACGGCTATCCAATCAATGATTTGATGACCAGCTATATCTACTGACAGTCAGAAGACCTTTGGGTTGGCATTTTTCAAATTAAAAAAATATATATATTTTCTCATTAGCAGGAATGTTGGCAAGTATCTTTTTACATGCTTTAAATTGTCCCATGCAGGTTTTTAAGAACAAAGTAGATAGATAGATAGAGGAGAAATCAGCCAACTATGCACCAACATGCTAAAAAATAAATGACATTCACACATGAGAAACAAAACTATTCTATTTCTAAAGATCATAATTAGACCACTGGGAGAAACAAACAAATAAAACATTAAAGAAAGAAGCATGTTCAAAGCACTGAAGCAATCACTATACAAAAAAGACACAAGACTGAAAGCCTGTATTTCAGTATATCCTGGGAGAAGATGGTTCTCTGTGCCATATTTTTAATGGGAAGAAGAGGAAAATGAGCTACAACACACAGCTATCAGCACAGAAGTGGCTGAAGGTTCTCAATGTGTTGTATGGGTTTCAGTCTTGTTTAATATACACAAGGGCATCTACCTTGCAAATCAGCTTTCATCAATGCAACTTTGTCAGCAAAATAAAAAAAAAGCAAAATATATTAAATGTTAGTAAGCAAATATTGAAATGGCAGCAAACACAGAGAAATTGTTCAGAGAAAAAGAAGTGCATGCTGCTCTCAAAGAGGAAAAGAAATTCCAAGTAATGCAAATAAATTAATGCTAATAGACATAAATATCCAGGCAAGCCAAAATGAGAATGCAATAATTTGCCAGCATTTACTACAAATATAATGGTTAATTGAGCTGATGGCATGTAATGAACGAAAATTAAAATCATTTTTTTTTTCATAGGATAAATGTGAATACATTAGCAAAAGGAAATGGATGGTTTAATCCTGAGTAGCCATTTGTTATGTTCAGATATAAGCAGTTCAACCATTAACACATTATCCTTTACCATCCTAATTCTCTAGAGGAATTGAAGGACCTGGAGGTGCCCACATGCCAGAGAATTGCTTTGGCACTTATTAACTCCCTTGCCACCTAATTAAAATATACAGATAAGCCAAATATATTGGTACTCTTCCTACCTTTTCCTTGAAAATATTAATATGCCCTGAGGTAACTAACACAAGTATATGGCATCCACCATTTTTATTCCATAATCTATATAGCAGACACTTGGCTTTTGGTGTATGACTTAACATATTCTTGTAAATAGTTAAGTGAAAGAAAAAAATACAAATGAAGATTGAAGATTGGTAGGTAACTGGATGTTCTTCACTGGTCATAGGCATTATGATAGTCATTTTGTGACTCTCCATAGGTCTTCCCTAGCAACCAATTCGTCTCAAAATTCCATATATGTGTACAAGACCAAAAGAATCCAGGGAATCCAAATCTCTGGATTCAAATGTACATTAAGAACTACACCCTCTAATTCAGTTCACATCCTACATGAGTCACTTAAAGACCTAGTAGCTGTATTTGCACAACATGTTAAGCTTTGTTTTTAATCTTGTTTGCTTCGTAACTTAGCTTCTTATGTGAACATAGCCTAGGAAAAGGTTAGATTTAGCAGAAATGGAGCAGCTTTGGTAAGTAGTTAATTGAACATACTCTTCCATGTTATGCAAAATATTTTGTTGGCTTTCCTTTCTCCCAAGAATCAGAAGGAGACTGGTGTGGCATCAAGTTGCAACTAACACATGTCATTAAAAGGCTCATGTTTTTGTGATCTACAACTCATTTCATCTCCAGTCAAGAGAGGGGCTGGGACCACAATCAAAGCTCTAAACCCTTTTCATCTGATACATCTGAAAATGGGCAGAGCTTTGTTCATTTGTTCATTTGTTTGAGATTGACTCAGCCTTCCATCCTTCTGAGGTGGGTAAAATGAGGACCCAGATTGTTGCAAGCAATATGCTGACTCTGTATTATTTATTTATTTATTTATTTATTTATTTATTTATTTATTTATTTTGTTGCATTTCTATGCCGCCCAACTCCCAAGGGATTCTGGGCGGCTTACAACAGAGAATAAAACAATTCAACAATATCCCAAACAAAAGTTAAAAGAAGACATTAAAACATTAAAACATTAAAACACATACACTCCAATTTGTGGCCAGGTCTCGCAAGATCACTATAACGAGATCAATGGCCCCAGGCCTGCCGGAAGAGCCAGGTCTTCACTGCTTTCCGGAAGGCCAATAGGGTGGGGGCGGTCTGGACTTCAGGAGGTAATTGGTTCCAGAGAGCTGGGGCAGCGCCGGCTCTCTGGAACCAAGCGGGCCCACCAGCCGACATTGTTTAGGTGACGGGACCCAGAGGAGACCAACTCTGTGGGATCCTACCGGTCACTGGGAGCCATGTGGTAGAAGGCGATCTCGAAGATAGCCTGGTCCTGAGCCATGTAGGGCTTTAAAGGTAATAACCAACACCTTGAATTGCACCCAGAGACCGATAGGGAGCCAGTGCAGCTCACAGAGAATTGGTGTAATGTGGGTATATCTAGGTGCACCCACTATAACTCGCGCGGCTGCATTCTAGACCAACTGTAGTCTCCGAACACTTTTCAAGGGTAGCCCCATGTAGAGTGTGTTGCAATAGTCCAACCGTGAAGTGACAAGGGCATGAGTAACTGTGAGGAGAGCCTCCTGATCCAAGTAGGGTCGCAATTGGTGCACCAAACGTGCAAAGGTCCCCCTAGCTACAGCTGTCAGATGTTGTTCCAATCTCAGCTGTGAGTCTAGAAGGACACCCAAATTGCGAGCCTGTTCTGAGGGTGGCACTTTCTCTCCCCCCAGGAACCAAGGATGGACAATCGACATAGTCTTTAGGGGGCAATACCCAGAGCCATTCAGTCTTGTCTGGGTTAAGTCTGAGCCTGTTGACTCCCATCCAGATCCTCACAGCCTCCAGGCACTGGCACATCATATCTACCACATCACTGAACTGACGAGGGGTGGAGATATACAGCTGGGTATCATCAGCATATTGCTGATATCCCACCCTGTGTTGTCAGATGATTTTACCCAGTGGTTTCATGTAGATGTTAAATAGGAGGGGAGAGAGGATCGAGCCCTGAGGCACCCCGCAGACGAGGGGCCTAGGAGATGACATCTGTTCTCCTACCAGCACCGACTATGATCAACCAGAGAGATAGGAGGTGAACCACCGCAACACGGTGCCTCCCACTCCCAGCTCTCTTAGTGGCCCCAGAAGGATACCATGGTCGATGGTATCAAAAGTCACTGAGAGGTCAAGTAGCACCAAGATAGAGGAATGACCCTTGTCTCGTGCTCGCCAGAAATCATCCATCAGCGTGACCAAGGCAGTTTCCGTGCTGTAGCCAGGTCTGAAGCCGGACTGAAAAGGGTCCAGATAATCCATTTCATCCAATGACCGCAGGAGCTGAAGTGCCACCACTTTCTCTACAACCTTTCCCACAAAGGGTAGGTTGGAAACTGGACGAAAGTTTTTTAATTCTGCTGAGTCCAGGGAAGGCTTCTTGAGGAGGGGCCTTACAACCACTTCCTTTAATGGCTGTTGGAAGGACCCCTCCCTCAAGGATGCGTTAACTAAAGCCTGGAGCCAGCCTCGTGTTGTCTCCTTGCTGGCCGAAACCAGCCAGGAGGGGTACAGGTCCAACAAGCAAGTGTAAACTGCTTAGAGAGGGCTGTAAAGCACTGTGAAGTGGTATATAAGTCTAAGTGTTATTGCTATTGCTATTCATGCAGCTGCTTTCTTGACTTTTTGGAATCCAGCAAATATCTCACAATTATTTGATTGATAAATTGTAGTTTGAATTTGACTTTATTTTTGGTGAAAAAGTCTTTTGATTTGTAAAATGTGATTGATGTCTGTAGTTTGGTGAACATACTATGATGAAACAAACTGTATATTAGAAGGAGGAAAGTATGTTGGATATTTTTGCTGCCTTGAATTATTTGTAAAAATACAAGTTAGTCCTCGACTTGAGTTCCTTGACAACAGTTCCTTGAGTGAACATTTGAAGTTACAAAGGCACTGAAAAAAGTGACTTAAGACTGTTTTTCATACGTAAACCATTTCAACATCCCCATGATCATGTGATCAAAATTCAGAGGCTGGCAACTGACTCATATTCATGATGGTTGCAGTGTCCCAGGCTCATGTGATCATCTTTTGCAACCTTCCAACAAGCAAAGTTAATGAGGAAGCTGGGTTCATGTAACAACTGTGTTACTAATATAATAACTGCAGTTGTGAACTTAACAAATGTATCAAAAAGGTTATAAAATGCAGCAAAACTTACTTAACAAATGTTTTGCTTAATATCATAAATTTTGGGCTCAGTTGTGGTCATAAATCAAGGACTTATTTGTTTCCTGCCTCTAATAAAGGCAGGATACAAATGGATAAAATAAATAAATAAAAATAAATATTGGAAATGTGTGATGAGTTATAGATTTATTTTGAATGCGTCTTGGATGAAGTCAAAGGAAAAAAAAATATTTACCACTGCGAGGAATTACATACAGTTGTAATGTCTGGCTTTTTTGATGAAGGAAATGGAAGTAAAAGGTCAAGGCCATTTCAGAATATGCTAAATATGGGGCAGTTTTGTAAGAGCCCCATCAGGTTTTTCAAAAGCTACTGAGCCCTGAGTGAAACAGGTGTGGGAGGGGACTGAAGAATAAGAGGAAATTGGATAGCAACTGAAAAGCTGAAGTAGATACAAAATCTGAAGCAGGAGTCTCCATATCAGGTTGTCTATTTTTTGGATCTAGAAAAGGAAATCTGTGTAAAAAATGGCATATAGGGGCAGTAGGATCTGTGTGGTTTGGGCACTGCAGTTATAGTCTTCTACCAGATGGTCCCTTTTTCAGTATTAGAACCTAGATCCACTAGAGCTACTAATTTAGCTGGACCCTTCCCAGTGGTGAAATCTAATTTTTTTTTACTACCGGTTCTGTGGTGTGGCTTGGTGGGCGTGGTGTGGCTTGGTGGGCATGGCAGAGGAAGGATACTGCAAAATCTCCATTTCCACCCCACTCCAGGGGAAGGATACTGCAAAATCCCCATTCCCTCTCTACTCCTGGGGGAAGGATATTGCAAAATCTCCATTCCCACCCCACTCTGGGGCCAGCTAGAGGTAGTATTTGCCGGTTCTCCAAACTACTCAAAATTTCCACTACCGGTTCTCCGAACTGCTCAAAATGTCTGTTACTTGTTCTCCAGAACCTGTCAGAACCTGCTGGATTTCACCCCTGTCCCTTCCCCTTTGATTTAGTGACCAAACCACTAACCACTGTTGTTAATCTCGGTCATATGGTGTCCTCAGTTGACATCAGTATTAAATCCATTTTCATTGGTTTTATAACAAAGACCTAAGTATAGGTTGAATGTATTCAGGGCTAATGTTAGACTCTGACTGCATCCATTCAGATTATTTTCAGCCTTTCAGTTTGATTCTGTAAATAAGCTTGATTATATAAATTACTTGGCAGTTAAGGTGATTCTTAAGATTTTGGGTGCTACATAATTAAATGATTATTTTAATACCAAGATCTAATCACTAACAGAATGTATCACCATCTGCCCTCTTTCTCACTTGCACTGGAATCTGTTATTTGCAAGCTTCACAAAATAAAGTGAAATTGCCTTTAGGTGTATAGAAGCTTATTCATATATTGAGTTCCACTTTAGTTTTTTAACATTAATCATCACATTAAAATTAGAATTCAAGTCATAAGGATTTAAAAATTCAAACAAAAAATAATATCATGTGGACAGTTAGATAATATGAATGAACATGTAAGTAGTAAAAAGTTGAATGAACAAAGTTGGGGTTTTGGCTCTTCATATCAAACCAATCAGCAGACCTTTAATGTAAGCAGAAAAAAAAAATCTCAACTCAAAACATCTGCAAATTTTTGCTGCAGGCAGGTGGCTTTCTGGGTTGCAATAAGAATGTTGAATCTTGGAATATCTACAGTAGAAGAATGGTAATAATAATGATAATGATAATGATAATAATTTTATTTATATACCGCCCTCCTCCCGAAGGACTCGGGGCGGTGTACAGCCAATTAAAAACATAAATATACAATATCATAGTTAAAATTAATTAAAATCATTAAATAGTTTTGGCCGAATTTTAAAACCAAAAGTTAAAACCCAATTTAAAATCATTCAATTAGACAGCCCCGCCTGTCGGAACAGTAAGGTCTTGAGAGCACAGCGAAAGACCCGGAGATCAGAGATGTTATGAATATCCGGGGGCAATTCATTCCAAAGGGCAGGAGCTCCGACAGAGAAGGCTCTCTTCCTGGGTGTCGCTAGCCGGCACAACTTGGCCGACGGCACCCTGAGGAGTCCCTCTCTGTGGGAGCGAACTGGTCGGTGGGAGGCGGTTGGTGGCAGAAGGCGGTCCCATAGATATCCTGGTCCTATGTCTTGGAGCGCTTTAAAGGTGGTAACTGACACCTTGAATTGCACTCGGAAGACCACTGGGAGCCAGTGCAGCTCACGCAGGAGATGTGTTACATGGGCGTAATGAGGTGAACCCATAACCACCCGCGCGGCCGCATTCTGGACCAGTTGGAGCCTCCGAGTGCTCTTCAAGGGGAGCCCCATGTAGAGCACATTACAATAGTCCAGACGGGAGGTGACGAGGGCATGAGTGACTGTGCGCAAGGCATCCCGGTCCAGAAAGGGACGCAACTGGCGGATCAGGCGAACCTGATAAAAAGCCCCCCTGGCTACTGCCATCATGTGCTCTTCTAAAGACAGCCGTGAGTCCAGGAGGATGCCCAGATTGCGAGCCCTCTCTGTGGGGGGCAGAGATTTACCCCCAATAGTCAGCGATGGCACCAGTTGACTATACCGGGACGCCGGAAGCCACAGCCACTCGGTCTTGGAAGGGTTGAGCTTGAGCCTATTTCTCCCCATCCAGACCTGCACGGCCTCCAGGCAGCGGGACATCACATCAAGGGCATCATTGGGGTGGTTTGGGGTGGAGATGTACAGCTGGGTGTCATCAGCGTACTGGTGGACTCTCACCCCAAACCATGGATGATCTCACCCAGCGGCTTCACATAAATGTTGAACAGAAAGGGCGAGAGGACCGATCCCTGCAGCACCCCCCAATCGAGAAGCCTCGAGGTCGACCTCTGCCCCCCTGCCAACACAAACTGTGAGTGGTCAGAGAGGTAGAAGGAGAACCACCGTAACACGGTGCCTCCAATTCCTAATCCCTTCAACCGCTGCAGCATGATACCATGGTCGATGGTATCAAAAGCCGTTGAGAGATCTAATAGGACCAGGACAGAGGAGCAACCCCTGTCCCAAGCCCTCCAGAGATCATCAACCAACATGACCAATGCCGTTTCTGTGCTGTACCCCTGCCTGAAGCCCAACTGGTACGGGTCCAGATAGACAGCTTCCTCCAGGTACCGGGGTAGCTGTCGTGCCACCACACTCTCGACAACCTTCGCCACAAAACGAAGGTTGGAGACCGGACGATAATTTACTAATACAGCCAGTCCAGGGATGGCTTCTTGAGGAGGGCCTCACCACCGCCTCTTTCAAGGCGGCGGGAAAGGCAACCTCACTCAAGGAAGCATTTATAATCCCCTGGAGCCAGCCTCGTGTAACCTCCCGGGAGGCCAGTACCAACTGGCATTACCAACATTTAAAAAAAAATACCATGACATCTGTGAATATTTCATTGAAGCCTCATCCATTTTTACATCTGTGCTAAAAGGGAGGGATATTCCTTTGTGCAGTTATGAATTCGACCTTGAGTGCCTGCCCCCTGGATCCCTTTGATGGAATCTCCTTCTTTAGCTGCCATATACAATTATTGGCTTGCTACAATGAATGTTGTGAATAGCAATAGCACTTAGACTTATATACCGCTTTACAGCCCTCTCTAAGCAGTTTACAGAGTCAGCATATTCTCACCAACAACAAAGGATGGAAGGCTGAGTCAACCTTGAGCCTGGTGAAATTTGAACTGCCAAATTGCAGTCAGCTGGCAGTCAGCAGAAGTAGCCTGCAGTACTGCATTCTAATCACTGCGCCACCATGGCTCCTATGCCTATGAATTGTTTGAAACAATTGTTTGCTTCTAAACAAATATACATTGATCATAAAATAACCACCTGGACACATTTTGCAATTGTGCCTATAGGAGGTACCTGGTTTTTTTTTTTTTTTTTTTGCTTTAAATAAAATCTGAAGTGGGGAGAATACATGTTTTCACTGATACTGAAAAGAGAGAAAATGAATTGAGGAAGCTTAATTACAGGTCACAGCTCTGTCCGAGAGAGAAGGTGGAAGATTTTGGTTCCTTATTCACACAAATTCATAGAATAAAAATAATATTTAAAAACTGAGAGATTAGTTATTTAGGTTATGGATTGCACCAAGTTTTTTTCTCTGAAATTATTTTTTGTTTGTATCCATTAATCCTTGCTTACCATTAAAAAACAGTCTTATTTTAATATTTACCAAATCCTATAGTACAGTTCTAAAATATTATTTCAGACCTCCTCCATGACCTTCTCTGCTGGGACCAAGGATATAAAGAGCTAATATAATTCCAGCCAATGCAGGAAATAGTCATGAAGCAATACCTGAGGAAATCTTTGGTATAATGACTTATTTATTAATTGGATATGCCTTTGAAATCAAAGGGAAATGATATGTGTCATAATACATTCTGCAAAGAACTAATGCTAAATACATGCTAGATAGATAACTGCAGTAACAAAATTTAATTGGGCACATTTAAAACTAACTATAAAAGAAACTTTCTTTAAGATAACTTCTTCTCTTGGTAATAGATCTATGATCTGTATTGTTTTCTTGATAGCAATATAGATATGGCTACCTCCTGGAGGCTGATACAATTTATCTGCCTGGGCTTCAAACTCTGATATTTCTGAGTGGTCTACCATCCATCTACTAATCAGATGTTTAGCATCTTGAGATCAGCTAGCTTTTGCCACCTAGGTGGAGAACGTAGTACAGCATCTAAATAAAATCCATATAATATGGAAGGATAATTCATTGTTTTTTGTCCCTTCATTTTCTATATCTGAAAATTCTTGCTCTACAAATATAATAGAATAATTAGTCACTCCTAATTAATCAATTGAGTCATGGGACTGTTTTCTTATCTCAGATTACAGATAAATATGCACAAACTATTTAGTGGCTTCATCACTAAGTTTTCAAATTATGTCAAATATATGCCTGTGAAAAAAAGTGTGAAAAATTACCAGTTGGTGGGATGCAGATGATTAACTTCAGGATGGATATAATTACCAAGCTGAGCAATTGAAGATGGTTTCCACTGGAAAACATTTTGTGCATTTTTGTCAATTCCAATGAAGAAGAAACTAAACTAAATATTAGTGGAGGAAGATTATTTATGCCTGCCAGATAATGGTTTTTTCTCTAGAGCCTTCAGTAGGATACAAAGTATCTCTCAAGGAGTATGCTCCCTTTTAATTGGAGAAGCATTCGTTTTAATCAAAACTCTTTCATTCAAATATATTTGTCAGCTTTTTTTCCCTGCCATTTCAAAACTGGTAGAGAACACTTTAACTTGGCTGTCTGAAAGAGTCCCTAGACTCAGACTCTCTACAGAACTCTAACATCTCTTTTTCACTTAATGTGTCTTAGAAATGTGCATGTTAATTAAATTAGTTAATTTATACTCTAACTACTATCTATGTACTGCAGTGCTCTAACTAGTATCTATGCACTGTGATTATATAAAATGCCGCATGGGAGCTAATTAGCACAACAATTAATTAAGATATTTCACAAACAAAACAAAGACAGGCAAATCAGCTGATTCATGGCAAAGAGCAGAATTGACCAATTGTGTTCTGATAGCTAACTTAATGTTCTCAAGCTTGAATTTAGTTTTGTGCCATTGGAGTGCATTTCTCAATCAATAGCATCCACTTTCATTAATTATGGAAACTTATCTTATTTAACAAGTGTAACAAAGAACAAATTGATAAGATGAGAAACTGGCAGGATCCAAATATAAATAAAATAGCAGAAAAGATGCTGTAGCTCCACAATTATGAAATTAAAATTAGAAACATTTTAGTTACACTTTAAGAGTTTGAGACAAGTTTGTGAAATGATCAACCATACCTTCGCATCCTCTTTCTATCTGTCCATTGCAAAACAAAGCATCTGAAATCAAATCTGGAAGACGCCCATTGAGATCCACAGAGGCAAGGCAGCCTTGAAATCCTTCTTTGGCATGGACCAATTTTGGCAAGGATTTATAAGTCTCTTTTGCTACTCCTCCAATATATAGATCACCTATGAAGTCAAACAAAAGGCTTGGATGAATAAACATTTATTAATCGTATTCATTGATAAATTGAACATGTTTTAATCTACCATAGTTGCACAAAAACATTTTCTTAATTTTTATAATAAGACAAAAAGCCCTCCCTGCAAAACAACAACAAAGGAGAATATTTCATTACCCAAACTAAGTAACAGTAACAGAATTGGAAGGGATCTTGGAGGTCATCGAGTCCAACACCCTGCTCACATTATCAGTGCTGGTGCTTTCTCTCTAGCACCTAAATACTGATAGTTCTTGACTTACAACCATAATTGAGCCCAAAATTTCTGTTGCTAAGCGAGACATTTGTTAAGTGAGATTTGCCACATTTTACAACCTTTTTGACACATTTGTTAAATTCACTGCAGTTATTATATTAGTAACATGGTTGTTAAGTAAATCTGGCTTCCCCATTGACTTTGCTTGTCAGAAGGTCACAAAAGGTGATCACTTGACCCTAGGACACTGCAACTGTCATAAATATGAACCAGTTGCCAAGTGTCCAGATTTTGATCGCATGACCTTGAGAGTGATGCAATGGTCATAAGTGAGAAAAACAGTCATGTCACTTTTTTCAGTGCCGTTGTAAATTTGAACAGTCACTAAATGAACTTTGTAAGTCAAGGACTACCTGTAGTAGGCCAATCATTTTTTTTTTCACAGTGTCCATGAATTATATTATCTCCAAGGCCATCTAGCTAGCTCAAATGTGGACAGATTGTACCCTTTGTCAATAATACAATAACAAATATATAACAAAAAGAGGAAAGAACTGTTAATGAGGAGATTCCTCCCATACCAATATAAACTCCTTCCTCCCAAAAATGTATTTAAAGCTCGAATTTCCAACAGTATCTAACTACTTTGGCCTAGTTTGTATAGTACTGTACAAGTGAATTATACATCATTTTAAAGTCTTACTATAATGTACAATTATTATATGGTCAATATTTAGTTATTGGAAACCAGTGTCACAATCAAATCAATCCTGAATTGTTTGTTTCCCATTAAACACCACAACTGGAGAAAGTCAGATGAGCACAAAAATGTTATTATGTTGGCAAGGCAAAAATGACTGGAATAGACATCCTGTAGATTTCTAGGAATGGATACAGCCGATAATTGACTTGATCTCCAAAGTCTGCCAATTATTTCTGAATGTTTTGTACTGTATTCAGAAAAATAGGGCTTCAAACAGGAATCTTTTTTAGCCTCTCTAGTTATGTGAACCAGGCATCAATAATATCTATATTTTTTAGTATAATACATATACTAGTAATATTAATAGGGATTAATAGTGATTGGCCAGTGGGCAAGTAATGACATGTGTCAGGTTGCACGCTCCACCCTTATATTTTTGCAATGCAACATCACAGCACAAGTAGGAAAGAACAGAGCTTGTATCACAATGTCACAACACATGTTTCATCATTACAGCATTATGGTTAGGAACAGATACCTAGGTGTAGAATGTTTGTTGCTGAAGAAGCACTGGGAATTGTTTCTAGAGAACACCATGTGGGGGAAGACACAAGCAGAAGATGAATTTGTCCCTGGCTAGCATAGTCCCTTGGGAGTATTTGCATGCTTGTCCTTTTCATCTGCTTGGCAAGCCTGGATTCTGTCTCTTAGCATGTGGCATCACATTTGGAGGTGTCCGAGAATATGGAAGAAGCCTCCCTTATATTTCAGAAAAGGATAATTTGTCTTCTCTGGGCTAAGTATATTTCATTACACATTAAATGCACGTTCCGAAATACAGAATGTTTCAGTGATGGCCAACCTTAGTTTCTCCTCTTGATTGACAGTGGTTTTTTTTTAAAAAATATTACACGATTATAAGTGGTTACTACACCTATCTACCATGATTTGATTTGATTTAAAACATTAAAATGTTTAAAACATTTATATAGCTACCCATCTTGTACCTAATTCTGGGTGGCTCACAGCCAAGAGATAAAACCATGTCTATGTGTGATAAAAATATTAAAATGAATTATATTAAATATATTAAACATCAAAAATATTAAAATTAAAAAAAACCCTAGCACCATAATTAAACTTAGCTCACCCTCTCCTAATGCTTGGGGGAACAGCCAGGTTTTATGTGCTTTTTGGAAGACTAAAAGATTACAGCCTGCCGAATTTCAGGGAAGTGTTCTATATGGTGGGGCTACAATGGAAAAGGCACATTTCATATTCCCATAAGATGGCAGCATTTAAGGGAAGGGACAAAGAGAATGTCTATGTTATCCAATCTGTTTAGTGACATGTACAAGGAAAGGAAACAAGATAAATCGGGTGCCTGTAATGGTTCGTTTTCTTGATATATGCAGTGAAAAGAAGGAAAGTTGTAGCAAATTCTTTTTCCTCTAATTTGACAGCCAATTAGAATTCAGACTGAAGGTTAAACTTTTTTTTTTCAATTGACTGGTTCCACTTGACTTCTGCTCCCTTGATGGGTTTATGCAAGCACATAGCCTTTTTGAGGTTCTTCTGTTGCTACCCATGACCTCTTGCTTAAACCTTCAGTTCTGCTAGCTGCTCTCTGGGCCTCCACTTCTATTTGTGGGAAACTCTTATCAGAGACACTGCTAACTAAAATTTCCATACCTAGATGCTAAAGTAACCAAAGATTGTTGAAATAAGTGTGTAGGAACTATAACTTTTCCTAGGAAAGAAAAATGGTTAAAATAAAGTATATTATAATGTAATGCTTGTCTTCATCTCTGTCATACCTATAACAGAAACATTATTTTCAACTAGACAATTATTTTGTTCTCATTTTTTCTCATTCACTTTTCTCATCTTTGTTTTTCTAAACAGCTCAGGGAGGGTTCACGATACTATTGAGCCTTTCTTCCAGTCTCTCAGTATAAGTTAACATATACATGGCCAGACAACTAATCCTTAGCATTCACCAAGAAAACAAAAATGCATACATTGTCATCTTTCCTCAGAGGAAGCTATGAAACCAATGAACTTGTCATGCACCTTATCCAGGAGACTGGCAGGCAAAAATTCTGCCACATTATAGAGTACCTAAGATTATATTATTTATTTATTTATTTATTTACTAAATTTCCATCCGCCTATCTCACAGTTCGAGGTGACACTGAGCGTCTTTTATTTTATCCACTAGAAAGAGACAATGATAGGTATTTACCCTGGTAAAAGTCAAAATATTATTATTAAAAATATAGTAATTTTTTTCAACAACATTGCCATATTGACTGCATGCTAATTTGCCAATAGCATATCTAAGTTATGACTCACTCTACTATGGAAAACTAGGCATTCTACAGATATACTGCAGCTCCCAGAAGCTCTTCTCAAGGCTTTCAGCAATCTAATAGGGTTGGCATGTGATCTTATGCAGTGTCATGAAGGGCCACCCATTATAAGAAATCTCTTAAGATCACCATAATCATTTTTCTCCTCATAATGGGAAAATTGCCAAAATCTCTTGAAGAACAGTACATTTTGCAGGGGAACATTGAAATGCCATGACATTGTTGGTTCTGACTGATATCCTGTAAGACAAGGGTCTCCAACTTTGGCAACTTTAAGTCATGTGGACTTCAACTCTCAGAATTCTTCACCCAGAATTCTAGGAATTGAAGTCCACAAGTCTTAAAGGTTGGAGACCATGGCTGTAAGATTCTCTGGAGCCCCTGAAATTATATGAAGTTTATAATCTCACAGGGGTTTGGGGTCTTATCTTTTAATATCATTATAATTGTAATTTAAATTTGGGTGAAAGGCCAATGTTCTAACATATTATTTTCACAATTTTGGGAAAATAAATTTATTTATGTTTTTACTTTAACCTGAAGAGTGTAGGCACCATTTGTAGTAACAGCAGATTCAGTGTTCTTGCATACAAGCTTTCCAATCACAGAAAAAATTCCCAACCATATTCATTAGGTAAATGAGTCTTAATATTTGAAATGGTGCATTTCATGATGTATTTTAATCCTTTTTTCAGTAAACTAAACATTTACAAAATGGTGCCAACAAGGCAGGAGTGTAGGAATATATATATATATGTAGAAATATATTATATGTGTAAGATATAACATATATACGGATAGAACTAAGACAAAATGTATTTCTGATGCATTGTAACACCCTTGTTTACTATCTTTTGAATCATGTTCTTGACTTTCTCATATTTTGTCAATTAAATGATCTACACTACAAGGCATAAAAAATAGAGATAACTAGAGAAACAGATTTTTTCATGCAGAACTAGGTCCCAGAATATTAGTGAGTTTCTGACGCTAATGTTTTGTTAGTAAATTGAAATGAAAGGCATGTCTATTGACAGAGATTAAGCAGATTTAAAAAGGAGAGGACTGTGTTTTTCCAACAGACTGTGCAAAGAAGTCGCTGAGGCTTGCTAAATTGTGAGGGGAAAAGATAAGATAATTGCCATGCATGTGGCAATCCATTTGTTGTGAATCGATGGAATATTAACATGGTGTAGATATGGATGTGTTCCTATGTTTGAATATTTACATGGCAGGGAAGGGATAAGATTTTTATATCAGTACACATCTCAGTAATGCCTGGAAGTTAATATCCGTCATAAAAATCCAGTAGTAATAATTAAGAGCAAGGCTGGAATACTTGCAACTCATTTCAATTTGAGGTTTGGGGGTGGTGCTTCCATTTTGCATCACTTTGGATATTGCTTTCCTTTCTGGTTTATATCATTTATGCAGTTTTATTTTTAAAACATCAATTATCTTCTAAAAAGTACATGACATTATTTTGATTTACTTCAAGAAGTGTAAAGTTTTTTGCTAAAAGATTAAAGACATTTCACTAATATAACTGTATCTGGTTCGGCCTGACAGCAAAATAATATAAGAAAGGTTTTTGATAGTATGCATATTACTAGTGTTTAAAATTGCTCTTTTTTCCAGTTCAATTCTACCACTGCCTGGTAGCTTAAAATTCAAAA